TAAGGGCTGTCATTACTGCTATTTGCCGTAAATGGCAGGCGAAAAAATCTGGAGAACAACGTATTTTCGGGAATTTTTTACAGAATCCACAGGGCTGATATCACGTAAGTCAGAAGGCGTCGAGGAATGGGTGCCAGCCCTATCAACACCATGTGTTAATTTAAGTACTGGCTAAGCTACCTTTCCAGCCTACCGCAACATATAGAATCAAATAGTGTTAATGCAGTGTCCTGACTGTCCCAACAGACTACCCGCAGCAGTCGACGTAAAATCCGACAGATGCATACCAGGTGTTGCTAGACGTCTTTGAAGAGTTCACGAAATTCAACTGAAGGACAAAGATTAGAAAACTCAGCGGACTTGGTTGAGTTTGAAATCACAATAGAAGTTCTTCCCTTTGTAGGTTGAATAAATTTTCGAAAGCGCTCTTGATGTTGAGCAGTTTGAGAAATAAGCAGGTACATAGGGTTCTTTTTCATAAAGAATACTGCAATAACAACAACGACTGAAACCACTTATCGGGTCTTTATGCTAGAAAACGGGATTTAGCACACCTAGATCAGTTGACGTCACGCTTGCCTGTCATACGTCCTTCTCCTATCATAACTACCCTTTTTAAGTAGGTAATTTTCGAGAATATTTTTTTGTACTTTCATCCCTACTGCTGAACAAGAACCAACCAACATCCGAACCACGATGCGTGATCGAATACACTGAATTGGCCACTGGGATTTACTGTATATGTCAGAAACTCGTATTTAAAAAATAATAAATTGTCCAAAAGCATTTCTACCTTATTTTTTAGGGAGGGTAACGCGGGCGAAAAAATGGAGAGCTAAACTACAGACTTCTGAAAGACAGCAACATTATTTGCATTTACAGTTACAAATCCGAAAAAAGACTATCAGATTGTTCTTTCTCAAGAAAACCTTATGAACTACTTCTGTCGCATAAAAAAAATCGGTTTTCCATCAGTAATATCCTTTAACTTGTTGAACGCATACCAAAAGGAGGACAAATAGGTAAGGGCAATAAACGGCAGTAGTCAATATGCATTGACAGTTCGACCGCCATAAGCGACGACGTCAACCAAGCATCCTGCAGAGTGGATATGGCACCTTTGACCTGCGCATGAATTAATCTTTATAGCCGTAAACTTCCGCAGGGCATATTGCACTCTCGTCGCTTACCCACCTTGCTCCTAAGGCATTCAAATGTCAAGACAATTGCAGATGGGCATGGACGCAGTTGCTGGCAAAGCTAAATAACCAGTCTTCTGCACCACACGTGGCCTGATCCCCACTACCTGTACTAGGTTACCGTATAGGTGGTTAGTATTCCACTTGCAAACGAGTGCTATTCAGACCACATTTGGAAAAAGTCATTGCAGTCTGCCTCCTGGTTGTTCGTAATTCAACAACCTTCGAAGTCAAGGCTAACAGCTCAACTTAAACGATTCAAACGTGTCAGGTTAACAATGGTGAAAAACCCGATGATTTACTGTTGAATAGGATAGCCGGCGTCGACTTTACTTTCTCTTCCCTCTCCCATGCACTAAGCGACAGTTTTAGTCTCTTATAAGTCGGGTGCTGGTAGAGGACCCAAAGGCGGACTCGCCGTAAATGCCTATCGATATTGCGTGCTGCACGCATACAGGACGTTAGTTATGTCCTCGCGCTAGCTCTTTGCAGTCAGATAAACGCATGTCATATGCACAATTTCGACCAGCGTTTTGGCTTCGCCCATCCACATTGCCGCCCGTAGTGGAGGCCGAATGACATATATACACAGCCCAGACTGAGTCTCGAAGCGCGCTAGAATCTTTTTGCTGGCGTCAACCATCTCCAGAATCATTAGACGAACAGATAACCCGAGCGGTTATATTCTTATCACGCGTACTTTCCAACGTGGGATGCTTATTTTAGGTCATATGTCAGCCTCGCTTACTTTGTTATTGGCATCTACTATTTTCATAGCTCATAGGAAAGCGATGAACGCACTTACATGAATGCTAGTGGAAACATAGTGCGTACAGTTATCAAAGAAAACGGACTGACACCCCCTGTGTAATTACTCATACATGGGGGGCTAGAGTTAAACCTTATATTAACATACCTTCTGTAACGCATGGAACACTGGCCTGTATGGTTTATCTGCCCCTTTATCTTCAAACCAATCCCGTCTTCACTATAACTTCGGTACCATTGAAAACACTGCTCATATTTGGAATCATCTCCCTTCTTCCTGCGTGTGAGAGACGGCGAAGATCAGACATAAACATGCTTATTGTCGAGGGTTCGAATCCCACCGGAAGCGCCGAGTTTTCAACAGTTGGATCAATATGAAAGTCCAAGGAACTTAATTTCGGCTGGATTTCTGCAACACCTCCTTCAGCAGTTTTTGAAATTTATATGTGCTTCTTAAGATATAGTTCATTAGCTTGTAGTATGTTTACCAAATATAGGTTGACAGGGAGAGAAAAATTTAAATGCCTTTTTCACCACCACGTAAATGAAGACAGACTTTAAGACTATTGTAAACGTTACTGTGCCTATCAATCCCGAAGACGACTTTGCTCTTCTTTTGCCCTTATGCACGTTTACCCTAATCCGTCAGGAGGTTTGGAGGTCTGCGTGTGTCACACTGTTATGAATGTCCTACGGCTTCCTCTCCTCATATGTGAGTAGTACGTTGCGCATCAGAACAGTCGAGTTATTCCGATGTTCAAATTCGTTCATGTAGCCCAACAATGATAAGGCACACTCAGGTATGCTGAGAGCAAACACTGCGTCTCATGTAATGTGCACAGGACATTGTACAAAACTCTGGATTTTTCTAAATTCCGCAACGCTCAGAATAAATTACTCAAAATATCTGATGTTCTTCATGTGTAGACTGCGTAGGATTTATCACTGCACAAGATAAAACGGTCCAAGTTACGAATAGCGAAAACCAACACAGGCCACTGCTAAGTTCGATGACAATGTGGTCATTTAGTCCCCCGTGTGCATTCACCTTTTGAAAGTAGTGTGCTAAGATCCAAAACAAGCTGGGATTGACGAAGCAATGACTCAGTCAAAGGAGCTTTCACTCAACATTTTTAGAACGCCTGATTTCCAGTGTCCTAGGTCGATAAACATAAATCGAAATATTTTGGCAATCGAATTCCCCGTTGTAGGTCACGCGCCGGCACTTTTCCTATGTGATGCAAACTTCTGATCTTGATGATTGATAACGACAAACGTGTGTAATCTGACTTCTTCGATTACAAAGAACACTGAACTAGACCAATCGTAGTTAGTACTTTATAGACGACAATACCTATTATGTGTGGTCATTACGTCTTGCCGCCTGGGAAGATATTTCGCACTGAGATTCCGGAAAACTTTATTATAGTCCAATTTATATATGCAATTTACTTATACGTCGGGTTAAAACCCATTATGAGAATTGCACACAATCTACGGAGGCAAGAGATGTTTACTGAAAGGCACGTAAGCACTCTATCCTTAACTAAAATTCCTCTAGGGATTGAATATTGGAATGTAACGTTAGCGTGTATGCTTCACAAATTCCGCAAGTATCCTAGTACTCCAGCCACATACTTAAAATATAGTTAAATGATCCAGCATGTCTCTAATCCCTTCCCTAAATAGCTTGTTCCGAAAATCAGGATCCATCCGGGGAATGCCTAGGATTTCATGATCAGTCACGCAGTTGGCTTACTCGTACGGTAACACAACGTCTTCCCTTCAACAGGCAAAATTGGAAAATTCGTCATAAGACATTTACTAGAGCTCACCTCCAGCGCCAGCCAGAAACATGGTCTACGAATCTCGTCCACAGCACGGGACTTTACTTCCAGTGTAAAACCCTGGCCTTGTTTAATGCGGCATCCGCTGAACAAAATTTGACTGTGAAATTGGCCTATCTGTCCGACTGGCAAGACACCGTCTTGCCGATCTCATCAAATAGTTGCGCATACTTGAATACGCCGCACCGAGGAAGTTTTTCTTTTATGCATAAGTTGTACTGAAAATAACTTTCATAATCTTTGGGCAAAGACGAATAATCTGCAGATTTTCCTCGTCTGGCGACCAATAACAATCGCGATGAGCAACTGTCTACGTTAAAGGTAGTGCGCGTGTCATAAAGCCTGTGCTAGTGTGTAGCTGCTGCATCCGTTACTCTTTGAGAAGATACTGTCCTCCACTATCGACTTTGAAATAAACTATTGATTTGAACGTACAAATCAAGACAAATGATGGGTGGCACCATTTGTTAATCGGTTCAGTGGTATCAGGCACCCGTAGGTACATTTAAATCCCACTGCCCGACGAATGGATGAAGTCGACGATGCCCAACAGTACCAAAACTGCGACTGGTAATTACTGCACTGATAAACCTATATGCATAGAAAAACTAAAGAAAAGAAGCCTGGGTGCGAAAATAAACAAGAGATTGAAAGGGATGTCCAAACTGCACCACTGGAGGAGAAAAACTGCAAGCCGAGAACAGCGCCCTGGTAATCTTAGGGAAGGTGGTTACAAAATGAAGTTCCTGAGGCTAGTTTTGGTCGAATTCATGGCTTCTCGATTTATCGAGTATTAGACCCATTTGAATCAACCATTGGGATTGGTGTATGTTTTGGGGTGAAATTAATCGAGCTTAGGGTCAAAAAATTTTCACTTGCTTTTGTGGTGCTTAATAAAAGTTATATTTTTTGAAAGGTTGTCGAAAAACGCTGAAGCACATGGTATGTACATTGGTTGATAAATGACTTCCGCCCCTATAGAGGCTGGATTTTTCGTCAAAATCGAGTGAAAATACAGTAACTTTGATGACTGGCAGTTATTGTAAACCCAGCGAACCAACAGCAATACGTTGCATAGCGAAGGCGCTTGAGTGAACACAGATGTTAGCTTCATCGACTGAGTAACTTTATCTGTCCCAATTATCGCCGGGATGTTTGTTTCCGTGTGCGTCTAGGCGCGTACTTTATGATGTCGGGTCCAGCGTACACTCCGTTGCCGCAAACAGAGTATGTCCATGATTCAACGCTCACAGGAGACATCCATCCCAACAAAGATGTATCCTTCTTTGTGCTTGATGATCGAATTTTAGGCCCCAGCTAGTCAACCTCAGCGGGTCTCCATATTCCATTTGGATTTTTATAAATCTTACTTCGATGTAGACACTAATCAAGTGAGTTTATCCTCATCCCTTGATTTTTCGCGTTCGTTTATACGACCCCTTGAAATGGTTGGGTTACATACTTACTATTAACCGTTTTCCTTTTTCTCTGTGGGAAACAGCTATCGTTTAAATAGCTCCGAAAACCCATAGCTTCTACTTGTGATAAGTCATTGTTGTTTTACAAATGCGACCTACAAGCTACAGTCTTTGAGTTTGATCGTCATTTACTTCAGTTTCCTCGTCTCGTCAGTTTACCTACGCCTAGACAGCACTCCAGGTCACTTACCCGTGTTCTACGGGCTGCGCTGCTGTGCCAACCCAATAAAAAAGACAAATAATTGGTTGGCATGTGCCGAAAAGGGGTTGGACGCCACACTAGTCACTTAGTCTGCTTTCGCCTTCAGTGGGCTTCGTCGGCACTTTGGTACACGACGTAAAGGGAAAGAGAACTGTAGACTTACTCTGGCCTCAATTTCTCGCTCTGATCCAGCTTTTACACACTATCACTGTAATATAATTCCGGCGCTTTTTCATACAATTTGTACGGGGTGAATTCGTGACTTTGAAGGCGGCGGTTGCCGAGTTGACTTGGTACCCCCGGCTAACGTGTACATTGAAGTGACTCCCGAGCATGGCCTCTATGGGATCATCTACCCTTATGAGCTCCGCACCCTTAACGTTTAGTTCCTGTATATGTGGGGACTAGCGCATGTGCCGCACTGGTTCAGCAACTCATCCAACCCACCCGAGAGCTCATATTCGGATATAGGGATATCAACAAAAGCATTATTTGAATCCTGTCATGTAGAATCATTGAGCACTGTTACAGGTCAGAAGGCCCCGATACTGGGATTTGTACGCAGACGAGAGGCCGATCTTCCGGTTAACCGTTTTCTTTTCATAGTAGCAAGCTCTACCCGCATATAGTTATACTTTTCTAGTTCCAAACTCCAAAATAGTAGACGAACTCTTTTTGGGTAGTTATCTTAAACTGTAGTTATACCCGATCTAGTCGGCCGCGATGATGTCGCAAATAGTCCCCGTCTCGGCGTCAAAGGATTCAGAGAGCTCGACGTATGCTCTTCTCCAACGACGAACACTGAAAACCGAAGGTTCAGAAACTGAATTTACATTTTGACGAACTGTGGCAAGCCTGGTTTTGAATTGGTCTTGTCGACTCCTCCAGCCGGGCAACGTCTGTGGATTTAGGGCAGCAAAACCGAGCCCCTGATAAGGACGACGAAGAGTGTGCCGAACTACCATCCGTTTTTTTCGAATGGCCTGATATGTTCTCGCACTGTGGCCGCTGCGAGTGCGGACTGTCTCATTTCAGGCGAAGCCTCGATACTTCATTGGTAGGATAGTCCTCCAGTAGCAGTCACTAAGCACTTCTTGTTTTTGCCTACGCACACCACTCAGCATGCACAGCCGTACTGGAGGACCGACCGGACGAATGTACGGTATACCCGGATTGTCGCGTCGAATCGATAGACGCATCCTGAGCATTAAAAAAAATCCCACGAGCAGCATCAATTTGGGAACCAACGCCATCCTTACTCTGCTCATTCGGTGACAACCTCTCCCGGGGTCATTTGAAACTGTCTTCTTCAAGTTTACAACTATAACTCGAACGGTTAGGAGAGATCGTTACGAACCGTAACCTGCGCAACCACAGAGCCGTAGTAGGCCTTGATGCTACCGATGGTTTTGTCCAGCACACCGTATAGTTCCACAGGGACCCACGATGGACGGGATCGAACGCTGCTGCGAGGTTAACGAGGCAGACAGGTGCCGGTTTCTGGTAGCCTTAGCGAAATTAAAAATGCGTCGCGGTATGAATATATTGTCCGCGGATCCAAGTCCGGCTTGGTCGGGTTTCGTTCCCAAGTCACACTCAGCCGAAATCGTCGGATACTGACAACAGCGAAGGCCATCGTAACGTCGATGAGGCTTTTACCGCAATAGTTCTTTCACATTCCTTTATCCCCTTTCTTGAAGACTGGCACGAGGATTTGTTATCGAAGTTAAGGTGGTCCAGATGCCCACGTCAGCGCTTCACTTTCATCGGTTTGTCGGCCACCATTTACATCGCGAATATTGGCTTATGGCAGAAGGCCTTCCGTTAACTTAACGGATAATTTGGTCGCATTTTCGCGTCTCACCAAGGATTGAGGCCCGCCAAGTATTTCTTGCGGTCATTCAGGACCGCGTTTGCTGTCATTTTTCGTGATTAACGGGAAATGTTCGTTTGGGGACCTGCTTCGTGCCGTCTGAGCAGACAACTGCGAAGTACCTCCACTTGTCCAGTCGTCGCGTCGCCTCTGGGTTAGTCCAAGAAGTTTCTTAGCTGTCTCGAGCTGAAGATCACTATCTGCTACCTTCTCCTTCATCTCTGGTCGCAAAACGTTACTGGATGTCTGTGCCCAGAGCTTCAGCAGTGGTGGGTCGTCGTAATTTGACGGCATCAAGCCATCTTGTATGTGACGGCTCTGATGCGGATGAGCGGTGAACTTTTTGCGTGGACCGAAGAGAACAGGGCATGATCCATGAACGTTTCCAATTTCAGCACGCAACCTCGATCCGCCATCGGGGACTCCACTGCGGGACGTTGAACCGGACAGAATGTAATCGATCTGACCGGCCGTATTGCCGGCGCTTGAATACTAGGTTAGCAGATGTTTGCGGCTTTGCTGAAAGCACGTGTTGGTTACAAATATCCGGTCTTGATTGAAAAAGTTTGGCATTTTCTCACCATTGTCTCGTCGAGATCCAAGCCCAAAGCGGCCGATAACGTGACTGTTGGAGGAATTACCAGATCCAGTCCGGGCACTCCAGTCTCCGCCAACAATCAGCATATCACGGCAAGGGAGCCCTTATACTAACTTTTCAAACCGACAGTAGGAACTGTCTTTATCTCGCTCATCGGCAGCTGATGTTAGTGCATATATGGGCATAACAGAAATGTTTGTAACATGACTCTTCAGTCGTACGCAAGCCACTCATTGACTGATTCTCACGTATCTAGCGTATGCTTCACTTGTTGCGAAAGGGCGACCGCCATACGGTGCCTAAAGAAAGAGTCGCGTGGGCTGTTGTGGTGTAATGTGAAGCGGGAGTTAACCCCGGTGATCTCAATTTCTTCGGCGTCATGGTCGGGGATTCAGACATCAGACAGGCAGCAGACATCCACGTTTTTTACTCACAATGACTGCGCGCCATCAGATCTTGGGTACTAGAATCAAAGAACGTTCGAACAGTCGAGCATCCGGTACTGAGTATGCTCCTTAATTGGGTACTTGAGCTCGCATACTATTGGCCTGCACCACTGTTCCTTGGGTCGGGCAACGCGTTCGTTCTGGTGGGCGCCATAGCATGGATCTTAATTCTTGATTTGCATATTTCAGCGGATTTCTAGGGGATTTTCAGTACAAGCAGATCTGCAAAAGCCGCTTTGGTTGTTTGGTCAAGGTTGCCTTCTCAAGCGTTCTGACACAAAATCCTGACTGCAACGCAGGTTAGCAGGTAAACTTATTTAGCGGCGGACCAATGTCGCCATATCGCAGTGTCCCCATCAGGCGTTGCACACTTTATTCGCATGTCGACGTACCATCCCTCAGCAGACTGCGTCCAGGCAGCGTTGTCACCGTTTGCTCGCGACTGCCTATCCATATGATCCGAGAGCCTGTGTATTTCGTACCTAACCGAATGCCTTCCGACTAACTGACGCCTGTGGACGCACCGAATAGCCAGCAGTTAGGCTAACCAGTAACGTGCCTTTCCGAACCAGACACAAAAGGTATAATCGCATCGTGACAGTGTGGCAAATCAAATACTTTACACCTTGGTTGTTTCTAGTGATTGGGGCGAATGGATTATAAGACTATTTAATCTTCATACAGTATCTTCCTGTGTCCATTAGTTGAAGTGCGTTGCCCGGCAATTTCTCTCGGCTTAGTAAATAGGGTCTCACCTATATGATCGGGAATTCGCAATAAAAACTACTTCTGAAAAGGTTGCAAATAATTCATACGGTCAAGTGATTTTTTTTCTATGCGCTAAATTCACTTTGACCCAACTTTGTAAAACTCGGTGCCCCCCACCGAGGCACCGAGTTTTCCAAAGGTGGGTCAAACGGAATTATTTGAAATCTGCCTAAACCTGTGAATTATAAACTAAAGTCAATATTTGAATCCTTTGTATAAAGAGGACGAATACCCCATTGCCGGTTTCTTTTCTGCAAGCCCCACGTAATGTAACCCAAAGATGCTCCGCAGTTTTCTAGTTGATAAAATACAAGCCGAAGTTAACGAAAATTTCTATGCTAATGCACATTGCACGTGACGTGGAGGTTATGTTTGCTGGCCCTCACGAGGCAATAAAAATAGACATCAGTCTTCGCCCTGCACTTTTTTTTATAAAACATACAGTAGATGTGCTTTCTCATGAAATGTTAGCCGAAATTCTGAAGTACGTTTTCCATTCGGAAAGATTACTTAGGTAGGGTTGTAATATTGATTATCAGGCTGCATAATTGCAAGATATTTCAGTCACGTCAGTGTGCCCGCTTTTGAAAGACCTTCCTATCGGCGGTCTGCAAAAACTACATTGTAAGAGTGACTGCTTAAGTAGTATGAGTTTCTTCAATCAATTTTCTATTCCTTTGAATATTTGACTATATTCTGCATAAAACACGCATAGAAACATTCTTCTTTGTACTTATTTGGTAGCTAATGACATCTACTTCAAATTTTTCTGCCCGGAGAAATTATCTTTCAGTTTTTTTAAAAAGTTCCTAATTATGCTATTTTCGAGGCCAGAATCCACACCCATTGCACAATTTACAAGTTCTATATGACGTCTTCCTAACAGCATAGAGAAATGCGTGCTATTCCTTTAACGAAACGTGTGCAGCACGCAGTTTAGGAACCCAAACGCTAGTGCAACGGTAGGTTGGGATAAGAAACTGGCAGATACTCTTTCCTCAAGTAAAAAATCTGAAAACGTAATTTGCTACCAAGTCAGTACGAAAAGGACTATTTTTGTGCTTCTTTTCTATAAACTATATTTGCACTCATAAGGGCATTGAAAATCATTAGGAGAAATTCATGCCAATTAAGTGGCCTTTTTACGGAGTGTGGTTTTTTTTAAACGGCCAAGAGGAGTTTCATTCAAAGGACGAAATCCTGGCCTGACTGTAATATCATAGGATCGATTAATAATGCTACAACCTTACTTGGGTAATCTTTTCGAATCGAAGACATCTTGGAATTTTGACCAACACTTCATAAGGTAACATATCTGCGCCTACCGCTTAAACAACAGTAGTCCTGATTTCCGCGAAACCCTGCGTTTGCCATTTTAAAACATCAGATTTAATCGTCAATTAAAATCGGCGTCGGATGAAGCTTAAGAAATGTCAGGGCTTCTGCAACGAGTACGCAGTTTTTTCGAAGGATTTTACTAGAACTGATGCCTTGATTGATTCACAGTGAAACTCCATACTGCGTTTTTTAATTATCGCTCTGTCAACGGGGTCTTACTTTGTTTATCTAGGTGTTAAAACGACTATGTTCCTCGGTTTGGCCTTTTTCCAAAGAATGCTCATTGTACAGCTCCCTTCAACCTACGCCTGATCTCTATGGACCATTTTGGATCACAGTAACACTCATATTTTCAGTAGCTTTTGCTGGAAGCATCCGCGAGTACCTTCTTCTGCGAGATAAGTCAGCATTGTCCACGTTCAACTTTATGCGAGGTGAGCACCTTCTATACTTCGTTGTTAACGCTTCGCAGGAAATGATACATGTCTTTATTTTGCACGAAAACCTGTTTTATAATGGTCCCAATACTGGGACTACAAGAAAGTTTGTTTAGCTTATGCTCCGCCCATCTGCCAGGCATTACTCTCTCCAGGTCGTTTTTTTGCATAAATACTGATTTTCAAACTTAATTATATTGGGTGGTCGATGTGGTCACCTGTGCCGTCTGGATCTCAGGTGATTCGCTTATCATCCCCTACCAGCCAAGCAACTCTAGTTAGCGGTGATGAACGAGATAAATGGGTTGATCCAGTTAGAGTCGAAGCGGACATGTTCACTAGATTTCTCACTGATAATCAATTCACATTACCCTTTCCTCGATGGAGGCCTCGTTAGCGTGTGACTTTGTCCTCGGACGCATCCCACACCGATTCCAGACGGTTCCGCGACATCGAGCAAAGGTCGCCCTGGCCTAGTTGACCTGATGCTTGATTTAATCCTTACCTTGCATGCTTCTTAGGAACTTCAGTCGAAATCGTCAGAATCCCTTTAGTGACTCGGAAGCTTTGCCGTCTACCATGACCAGGCAGATGCCTCAGTGGACCACGCCTGTTTTGCAAATATTCATTCTTAAGCGCACTTTAACTGCCTTTATAGGGGTGCTGTGCACTGCATGCTAGCGCAAGATCACCGGTGTATTCGTTATCCGTAGTCCTTCAACCCGTGTCCCCTGCCCAGTGCCTGTTAAAGAACCATTACACCACATGTTCACAGATGGAACGTTAATTGACGGATGTCGAACTTTGCCCTCACCGCCTCGCTGTCTACCACCACTGAGTTCCCAGACAGTCCGGTAGCGAAAACGGTTTATCCGACCTTTTAGCGCACATCTAAAGACCCCCTACCCTGCCAGTGACCACCAGGGTCCTCCGGCCTTCACGTAAGCCGCAAACTCCTCTGGAGTTGACCATCGTTGTCTACGACGAGCCAGCTATTGCCAATCCTATCCGGGCTTCCAGCCCTCGACTTCGAGATTTGAGACGGAACTCTCGAACTGCCCTGCCGCCATGTGCCCGTCCTTTCTTTCAACATCGATGTACATGGTTGGACTCAAGACAGAGTCATGGCCGATTCGTGTTCGTACACAGCCTCCCACCTATGGCATCCTGAATGCAGTATCTCGCAGCACGGGGCAGCGTGGCTGTAACATACTTACCTCATACTGTAACACATCCTCCTTGAGAAGCGTTAGTTTGTTCCGGTCAAGATTCTTCAACATGTTCAACTGCAGGTTTACACACATGTAGGTATATATTTCAGGTGGATATACTCAGAATGATTGGCGTGCTCCTGCTCTTTGTGGAGTTTTCTACCGTAAGAACATGCTCACCGCACCAAATTTCCAATTACTAGGTCCTTCGTCATTTTATGAATTGGCATTGGTAAAAGAAACAGAAATTCTGTAACAGAAATTTCATCTTCCTTAAAATTGGCATCTATTTGAGATTTGCTTTCTATATGCAACTTTCCTCAAAGCTTTTTCAATACTGGTCGTGCATGTTGCATGAAAGCGTTTTCGCTCCTCTTTTAGCATACCCAAGGGGCAGGCCGACATACTTCGTAATCACAATCGATATTCAGTTTCATGCATATTTATGTGCATGTTTAAGATAGTCTCCACATCAGTAATTCGATTTGTAAATATTACATAATTTGATCGATAGCCTATTGCCTATTTTATTTGCATATAAAATATTTTTCGATTTCGTCAGTCTTATTGCGTAGACTCGGCTCGACCAGGTCCCCTTGCCCTCTCTGTCAGTACATATGTAAAAAGGTTCTACTGATTCAGAATAAGTAGTCTTAATTTAGCTCGATCGATCTACATATTGATCTTCCAGTCGCTTATCAAGCACTGTGTGAACAAATTAGCAGCGCAGATGGAAGTCATCCATGGCAGAGACGAGCTAAATATGCGATGAGTTGTACGGTTTTTTCATTCCTTGACGACGGACTCGCGTGAGAGTTCGAAACGTCGGACAAATAATCAATTGATCCCAGCGATCGCCTTCCGGTCTTTTTCTATTCAATTACCTGGGCCGCGCGTATCCTCTATTATTCGGTATATATATACATATATATAATGGTAGTGGGCGCTCACCGATCGTTCATACGGAATTCACTCGTTCCGTTGTGCCTTAAGGGCTCTCTCTCGATCCCAACCAGCAGCCGCACAGCGGCGCATGATACATAGGCAGAATGGCATTACCGACAAAGACAAGGGAGACTGGAATGGCCATTTCTGGCTTATTAGCCGTCGTCAGCCAGCCATACCCAAGCCCGAAGTGTGGAACACCCGAGCCTCGAACTCGCGACCTGTTGGTTTTTCAACTTTTCTCTGTCTGTAGCCTTATTTTCTCTTCCATGTCTACGTCCCCTTTTTCTACATACACTCTCATCTACTTTTTTTAAGTGACCATCACTTCGGCCCTCCTGCTTACTTACTGGTGCATCGTGCCACTTCTCATTGCCTGTGCTGCCTGGTTCCGTCGTCAGAAGCAGGATCCGGGTACAGAACAGCTGGTGGGAGAAGACTCCACTGGTTTGAAGATGGGCCAGCTCTTCACAGACCTTCTCGCTGTCTACGGCTACTCTCTGACAGCATTTGTGCCTTGCACCGTGAGCATCCCGTCTACATTCCCCTCTGCTCCCAGTTGTTTAAGTTTTCGACGTTTATTGACTGATTCTATTAATAGTAGGCCCACGCGTTGCCAATAACGGGGACCACTGGTGCCCCAGAGAGGACACGAAATAGCGATTTGGTGAGCTGATTTTCGCTCCATCTACTTCGCTGCAACCAGGATTCCGCGAGCGAAGACAACTAGCTATGGGCGCGAGAGCAACGAATGCTGAGCTAAGTCTACGTGTAAGGTGCACGTTCTCTGCCCCATCCCCACACCGGGATCAGTCGTCAATGATCGGGTCTGGAGTCGCGCGCACTAAGGGACCATTGCGTCCTGACCCTCAGCCCTAACTAGGACCGAGTTACCGCGTCGCTTGGGCAACTCCAAAGTCACCGTGACCAGAACGTCATCATAGGGTGGAAGGCGCATTTAGTTGTCATTGGTTCGGGGTCGGGCGACCTCTATCCCCTGTGCCCACGTCCCGTGTGAGTCAAACCAACTGGAGGAGCTAAGATTGGGTGCTGCAGCTAGCCTTACGGGAAGCTTCCTTTGAGTGCGTGTCATGTTCAATGTTGAAGCATGTGCTCGGACCACATAACGTCTTAGCCAATACCCACATTTGTCATTCTTCCGAGAACCGTCTGCGTTAGTGGGATTTAAATTATAAGGAGTCGGTAAAACAGTAGAAAATCGTTTTATTTCGGCTTATAATGGTGTGTTCTCGCTAAACGCCTGCGGGATAGCACACTATTTCCCTAGAAATGTATAATTTTTCATTGCCTATGTATGATTGTCTTGACCACTTTTAGACCGATATAACTTTTAGTCGTTTTCAGCTAGCTCCGTCTGTTTTTAATTTGATTTTCCAGCATTGGATAAATTTTATTTCAAATTCATCAGCGAACTGGGGATTGGGCTTTTAAGACCGAACTTCCCAGATCTGACTGTGATTTGAATGCTGTCTTCGCCATCAAGGGGAAAGTTACCCCGTCATAATCGATGACGACCTATCTCGCCAGTTGAAGTCTGTGGATTGGGTGTTCATGTCACTGCCGATTCATCTCCAGAAACGCGGTGGTCCTGATTTCTCGTGATGAATGAACGATCCCGTTTGACCCTTGTGTATCCAAGGGTATCACCTGCTATGTACCCGATCGCAACCGACAGCACATTGAGCCTGTGGCTCAATAGTTAGGACGTTAGACTTCTAATCAGCAGGCCGTGTGCTCGAGTTTCGTGCGTCGCATACGTCGGGCCTGGGTATGGCAGGTGAATGACGGCCAACAAGTCAGAAATGGCCATACCAGTCTCCTTTGTCTTTCTCGGCAATGCTATCCTACCTATATTACGCTCCGCAATCCGACTGCTGGCGGGGTTCGAAAGAAAACCCCAAGGCACAAGCGGACCAGCGAGTTCCGTAATGCGATCGGTGAGCGCCTCTCTGCCATCATCACCTGTTGGTAGCCATGATATCCCTATAGGCTGTTTGACTTCCTGTGTTCTTTACCTGTATGAACGCTATTAGAGTGTTCTATTCTTATTTTAGCTCCTTCTCGTGATTCCCTCCTTTGCCGCGCAAATGACGATTCTTGTCCTGGCTACCGCGCTCTCTTGCAGCGTTTTAGCCACAGCCACCTTGAAGACCTTTCAACATCACAAGAAACAGGTAAATTTTCGCCCTTGTGCGATGCCCGGTTTGCCGTCGCCAGTCCCAGTGTCGGGTTGGTTTTCCCTAGCTCTAAGGCCTTTGTGGGCTAGTGCATGTGGCTGCCTTTTAAGTTGTACTCCACACGTGTTTATGCCGTAAGCGTGTGTTACTGCGTCAGTAGTATGCCGTTTGTTTTTCCAGAGGTGTGAATCTTGTTTTGCGTCTCGTGCGTCTCGTGACTTTTATTGTAACCGGCGCAAAGATGTATTTTCACAGCCAAAACTGCCACGTCGTGGTGTCGAAGACCTGCTGGCAAGCGTTGCGTTTCCACTGTCGTCCTCTTGCACCTGCTTTGGATACTTTAATAACCCGATGTATTAGGGGCCTGCCGTCGGCTGTGCTGGAAATCGGTACTCTCTTACCCTATGACTGCCACGCAACCCACCCATCAGCTTCAGTCAAGACAGGAAAACTAATTGCAAGTTGCCTAATCGCAATCCCCTCTTCCGCATCTAGGAGATTTGCCTCATAGTCTCAGCAGAAACTTATCCCAACACTGCGCTGGGCTCCTCATGTGAGCCAAAGATGGAGGATTGTCGGACGACAGATCAGCCCTTGGTTGCTGGGACGCCTAAAACAGTCGGCATGAATTCCCGTCGTCGTCGTCCGCTGTGTTGATTTCGCACTTCTGTTTTTTGTATCTAGTGCATAATTGCTACAGTAGGTGGGCCAACTCATTAAATGTCAACCGAAATTCCGAAATGCGTTATCGTTTCGGAAAGATTAATTAAGTTTGTAAAACTAGTCAGCCTGCAGCATAATTCTATAATAGTTCGGATACCTCAGGGTGCCGGCTTTCGAATGAACTTTCTTCCGGCTGCATGCAAAACTCTAAAAAAATGACTTCTTAGGTTGTACGAATTTTTCATTGATTTTTTCGTTTTCATTTTTTTAGTTTTTTTTCTTTCATTTTTCATTGATCTTCGATGCTCCTAAAAGTCCACTTATATTGTTTGAAAAACATGCAGAAAATATTCATTATTTTGCTCACTCGGTACATAGTTACGTCTTCTTTTAATTTTATGCTCGAAGGAGGGACATAATTTGGTTTTAAAAAGTTTATAATTGTGGGACTTTTAAATACCGTGAAATGGCCATTCATAAATCGTCATGTCTCTGCATTTATCAATGTGGATCGTAAAATTAACAATATGGTTTAAATTCCCTGATAAATTTTATGAACGTCATAGTGTCTACTTTTAATGCCATAGAGAGGTGTGTGGTTTTCCATACGCGCAAAATATACGGCTTGTACATTCGAAATCCTGAATGCAAGTGTAACGGCGGGTCGGGTCCAAAATTATTCGGGAATTGGAAAAGTTTCTCAAAACCGAATCATGCCCTTCCTTCGAGCATAAAATTGGAAGGCGTAATTGTCTACTGAGTGAGTAAAAGAATGAATATTTTTATGTATGTTTTTCAGTGAGAAAAATTTATGCTACTTAGGTAGTCATTTTTTACAGTGTCGTTTTTACATGCCGCCGGAAGGAAGTTCATTCGAAAGCCGGCATCCTGAATTGACTGAATTTTTATTGGATTATGTTTCATGGTGATTAGTTTTACAAACCTACTTAATTAATCTTTTCGAAACGAAGACACATTTCGGAATTTCGGTTAACATTTCATGACTTAGCCCACCTACTGTACGTACTGTCACAAGCCTGTATCCGACGGACCATGTTTTTCGGCCCAAAACGACTCCTGGGCTTAGAGTGACGCGCCCCCCCCCTCCCCGCGCTCGGTAGCACCATATATGGCGGTTCACTATTACCAGTCCTGCGTAGATTCTATTTATACCAACCTTTTCTCTAGATCATATTTTATACAGCACATGCAGGACCGGGGCCAACTGCAGTGACCTCTGCGCCTGAACCTTCCTCATCCTTCAGAATACGCGTGGGGTCCGCCTATCGCCGGACGGACCGTGAAACTCGGTCATTTATCGAAAATTTCATACCCCCCTCCCATCCTTGACTTGTTCTAAAGACGTAATACACGGTATATATGCTAACTCATGAAAAATAAGCCGAAATTGTGATATTCGTTTTCGACCCGAAAAGATTACTTAAACAGGGTCGTAATATTAATCACCGTGTAGCATTATCCCATGATAAAAGAAGTTCATTCAAAAGCTGGCATCTTGAAGTAACTGAATTATCATGGGGTTATGCTGCATGATTAACATCTCACGAGTTAGTACACCTACTGTACGTGGGACCTCCCCTAGTGTTCTGATATTGATTTACGACACTAGCTTCTGCCGAAGGCCTGTGTTGGAATACTAACGGACGAAAGGTCTCTACGCTCCAGAGCTTCTTTGGTGTGCACGCGGGCAGCCCTTCTGGTTCTTGCCTCTAAAAACAGATTGTTAGTTTGCTGACAAACACGACAATCTGAGTGTCTGGAGGACGATGTAGAGGAGCGAGCGCGAGAACGCTATTTGCTGGAAGTCGTTGTTCCCGATTTGAGCACATCACCGGAGACAGATACAACTGTGGGCATGGGACTCAGAGAACTTACGGAATTTATGAGCTGTGGTTGTCATTCAACTGTCTGTCGACCCACATTCATCTTGAGTTGTTTTTTTTTCAGGGAACCTCTTGACCGGGACACTGTTTTCAACTCCTTTTTCTCCTTTTAGAACGCGATCGTCTTTGTAGTCATCGTCATCGTCCTGCATCTTGCAATGGCTGTGTGTTTGTCAGTAAGTGTATTGGGGGCTTTTAGTGTTTAATTTCCTCCGATTTTCATAACTACTCCTGCCGGGGTGTTCCTTCCTACTGTTCGCCACATCAAACGTCCGGCCGCGTGCAGGTCAATGACAGTGGTGTGTGTTTAAATCGAGCCAAACTCCCTGAGTCGACGCTGAGGGTCGCATTACGAGAGCTGTTCCACCCCGATGTCATTCCCTCTAAGGGCAGATGGAATTTTTGATCCTTAGTTGGGAATTCTTTCTGCTAGAAGGTTCCTCTTTCGATCTGAAGTCTGTCAGCATTGACGGTATTTCTATGTTAAACTGGCGAGCAAAGCTACCGATTTCAATTTTGGTTGTCGACGCTTCAAGATCGCGATGAAAGATGTTCATTGGTTCTCCTACCTCTGCAGCAACTCACCGACTTTGTGTGTGCATGCTAATTAATGTCACTTGGCCAGAACTGACTGCCTGTAGACTGACTCGTCGATGATGACTCAGTTTGAAGCAAACTTTGACCCTGAGTCGCATGTCTAATAATGGGTTTTCCTCTTCCAGTGATGCTGCAATTACTGTTATTAACATATCAAAAATAGCCTCTTTAGATCTGTTAAATTTGTGGCAAATGTGCTCGCAGAAACTGTTCCAGTGACAACCGGTACTGTTGCCTATTTTCCAAAGCTCCCCTCGATAAAGCATTCTAAGTTATTAAAGGAAGCGAGTGTCTACCAAATGGAATAACTTGCCTTTTTAACCTCCCAGTTCGTTGTAGTCATCTTTTGATTTACATCATTTATGTTCGAATTTTGCTGCTCAACGTGGCATTATACACTCTGTTTGAGTCCTATACCTCCAAATTTAGTCACTCACGTGCGCTCCGCAAACCCAGCTTCTTCCTCTTCCTAGCTAACGATCCAAACTGCTTTCTCTAGCACGTCATAGGTGTTCTTCAAGTGTTCTTCCTTTCCGTTCAGAGTTGACTGACCACTGCGTTTTCCGACATATGAGAGGGCGCTTAAAACTGCCTGCTGGCTTGATTTTTGCAGGCTGCTACTCGACGACTTTTCATCTGTGGTAGGGAGCGCTCACCGATCGTTCTTACGGAACTCACTCGTTCCGTTCTGCCTTGCGGACTCTCTCGAGCCCAACCAGTCTCCCTTGTCTTTGCCGGTAATACCATTCTGCCTATATCATGCGCCGCTGTGCGGCTGCTGGTTGGGCTCGAGAGAGAGAGCCCTTTAGGCACAACGGAACGAGTGAGTCCCGTATGAACGATCGGTGAGCGCCCCCTACCACTGCATGTTCCCGATCGAAAACCGACAGGGCAACGCGCTCGTGGCCCAGTGGTTAGAGGCGTGGACTTCTAACTAACAGGTCGCGAGTTCGAGCCCCGGGTGTTCCACACATCGGGGTTGGGTATGACTGGCTGGCGACGACTAACAAGCCAGACATGGCCATTCCAGTCTCCCTTGTCTTTGTCGGTAATACCATTCTACTTTTCATCTATTTCGGCGTACATAATTCTCCCATTCGTCGTCTTATCTCCTTTCAAAGCCTTAAATTCCGTCTCCTGCTATTCAGCGAACTTGTCATCAAGGCATCGACACCGTACTTATTGCATTTGGCTTCACTTTTAGTGTAAAGATGCTATCGAGCTATTGACCTCAGTGAAATAAAGTCGCATATGTGCATTTGCCCAATCATCAGTGGTACATGCCGTGTTATGTAATTTAGAATTGTTACTGGCAAAGATCGTGGACAGTGGAATAGCCATTTCTGACTCATTAGTTGTCATCAACGCAGTGATAACCAACTCCGGGTTCTGGGGTATATCAAACCATTTGCGTGAAATCACTGATGGATATTAAATCAAACACTCATACCACGTGAACCATTCGACTGAATTCGGTATTATTGACTTCTGCTCGCCATTCAACCGCTTTTGTGACTTTTAAATTCAAAAGGCAAGCTAAAATGTCCACTTGAATCCTACATTGATGGACGCTTTTGCACAAAACGGCTATTTTGCCTGCCTTTCAGCTGGTCTTCTTCCACCAACCAAGTGAAGTGGCCTCCGCTGCGACCCCGCTCACTACAGCCGCAGCACCGCCTCACAATGACACAGCGAGCCAACCAATCGGAGCAAATCCAAAACTCTCCGAGAGCAAAAGCGCAGATATTCCGAAAGATGATGGCAAACTGCAAAAGGGGGCGAACCCGCCAGCGCCCTAGTCTCTGGGCGACTGCGGACATATCATCGTCGGCTCGGAACTCTTTCATTCTCCCTCTCATCGCACGCTCTTTCCACTGACTCTCGTTTTTTTCCCCTACTTGCTATACTTTCCTATAAACTTGGCTGCTCTTTTTCTGCGTTATTGACAACTTCTTAGTAGTGGCATCATCATGTCGGGACGCGCAAATAGTGCTGATGGTGAAAGTCCCCGGGGGTGCTTGCTGGTCGGTCACTGCGAGCCACTTGAGTGCATGAACGGCCTACTGGCTTGGTAGTTCTTTGTTAGCGGGTGTGGACTGCCATCACCAGAGCCGTGTGTTTGTTGCTAATGGCGGCGGCGGCGGCGTCTAGGTAGACTTCTCATCCACTGCGCCTGCCCCCAGTCCTCCTGGCTTTGCCTTGCCACTAAGAAATGATGAGCGTGTGTATGATGATAGATTGGGATGGACGTCGCGCAAGTCTCCTTTACCATAAACTGAATTCATATTGACCCAACAGTGAAAACTCGGCGCCTCGGTGGGATTCGAACCCACGCGGTAAAGGGAAGGCTTTAGTACAGCCAACGATCTAACCACTTGAGCTACGAGGCTCCGCCGGACGACGCGAGTTTAATCACATATGGGTCAAGTTACCCGCCCAACCTACTGCAACGTCTGGAATCCACCAAATCTGATACAGTAAGTTGACTGCTCAGGCAGGATTTCCTAAGTAATTCACCTCGAATACACCAGGCTTACGTAATTCATAGATTCTGCAAAAACATCTGTGAAAGTTCCTTTCCTCGATTAACCGCGCTCCCCTTCATCAAGGATTGTTGTATGCTAGTGCGCTAATTGCTTGCGCATACAAGGTTGGCGAATTCCAGTATCTTCGACGCGATTCCAGAGAAAATGGTTGCCCACGCAACTTCGTCAATCGGTACATGCGCAAACGAGACGAGCGACAAAATCGTGCCGACCCCAAATTTTGGCAAGCGTTCCCGTAGATCAAGAACGTCTCCGAGGCTGTTAGCCCCCTTCATGCACCACTTGGGGTTGGAGTTGCACACAGAACGGAGGCCACCATAAGGTGTCAGGTGATGAGATCAAAAGACCCACTCTCACAGCAAGAAATATCTAGAGTCGTTTACCGGATCTGGTGCAGTTGCGGACAAAGCAACTACGTCGGAGAAAATGGAAGACTGCTTCGAAAGCGAATTGCCGAACACGCGGCAGCGGTACGGAGGAATGACGCCAACTCTCAGGTCGCGGTTCATTCGAAGAGACCCGTTTTTACATTCAAGTGTGATGAGACCGAAATTCTCGTGAGAGAGGATGATCACGTGAGCCACGAATTGCTTAAGTCATGGTTCGCGGGACCTCAGTCTTTCAACAAGTGCAAGGACATCCGCACTCCATTTTCCGTGCTGAGGCATAGACTGGCCAAGGTAATTGACCACTCGGGGAGCGCGTGAGCCGGTGAGCCAGATGGCAGAGCAATCATCACGCCAGCATCCAACACGGGTGATGACATTTCGGTAATTAACAACTTGCATGCCGGCCATCAAGCCATTAGCGCACCAGCGAGCAGTCAGCCTTGATGAAGGGGAGTGCGGCTAATTGCTATAGGTATGCGGTAGCATAGCAACTTTCTGTGCACGAGTCACCCTTTTCTGCCCCTGTCTCTGATGATGGATTCAAGTGAGAATCCGAAACGTCAGGCAAATAAAGCCCTTGTTCCAGCGATCGCTTCTTCTTCAGATCGACAGCAAATGTGTAGGGTGACCAGCGGCCATATCAGGATCGCCCCGTCATTTGAATTTCTGGTCATCGGTTACAAGAAATCCCATCTGATGATAGAAGTCGTCTGTGCGGCGTCTCCGTCGCGTGGTTCTGTTTCCTAATGCTGGTCCGACTTACAATTGACGGAATGTCAACCAAATAAGCGTGAAACAGCTGTCCCTGGCTCGTGCTTGCGGATGACAGGCAAAAACGGGAAGTCCTCGACCACCGTTGCGTGGGCGCGTCGACCTTTGCACGGGTGATATTATGTGCATGTTTTGAACCTACTTGGGGAGCCTACTGCACCTCTGCGTCTCCGTCTGATGTACGCAGACGCACCAATGGCAGTAACTTTCCCGGCATGCTGTGACCTCGTATAATACTCTCGTGTCTGGAAGGTGTATGAAATCGAGATACCCTATGCGGATAGGCCCTGGGTCCAAAACACTGACGCCTGTCCCCGCGGAATCGGAGATGCGCCTCTCGTGCGTGCGCCAGCTTGTTTTAAAACATTCTTCGTGGATTCTGTACAGAACACAATATTCTCTACTGGCATCTGACTTCTCTTCCTACGCCGATCATAGTGGTTAGGGTCTGTCCATGGCTTTCACTGGTGCAACATGAAGCCGCTGCGACAGCACTGAGAGCACACCTCGTGCCACCCAAGAAAGATGGCTGAGATCAGATGAGCAGCTCATTGGTCGCGCGTCCCGTGAATACTCTGTTTCTGCCCTAACTTCGTTGCCAATGCCTAGCTGGAGGCTGCGGGACGGGAGTTAACCTGACTCGGCACACGTGGACTGTCGGGCATCGTTAGAGGATTCAAGCCAACCTCTTCTAGTCCGTCGCCGTTGGCCCTCCAATGCAAAGAAACTGCTGCACAAGAAGTCCTTTCACCGAGAACTTTTTCACGCATTTCCCCCTTAGAATTGCGGTCATGACACTTTGGTCCAGGCATTCAACCTGGATCTTCGTCTTTATATTAGGAATCGCCAAATGGAATAAACTTCAGATGAGGCTGCTACGGTTAGTATCTTGCTTTGCACGCCTCAGAATACATCTGACCAGGTTACTTTGAGCTACTTACTTGTACTTGATACGGCTGCGATCATGCCTGATCCAGCCGGGCTCGATGATGTCACGAAATGTACCTCTTCACGCGTGACGATCCGCGGCAGCAGATCTGGACAGCTCAACCCATTCCCTTCGCCAACGACGGAGACCGAATACCGAAGGTCCAAGAACCACCTCCATGTCTTGACGAACTGTGTCGAGCCAGGTTTTGAAATGACCCCACTTCGAAGCCTCCAATGGGGCAACGGTGCAGGGTCGAGGACAGTAAAACAACCCCTGAGGTGGACGACGAAGAACAACTGCCCGAACCACCTCAGTCGTCTTTCTTGGATGGCCGGAGTTATCCTTGCGATGCTGTCGCAGCAAGCGCGGACTGTCTCATTTTGAGACGAAGTCGGTGAACTTCTCTCGAAGGATGGTCTTTAAACAGTGGTGGTCAAATACCTCCCGGTTTCGCTCGTCCTCCATGGACAAAGCCCAGCTTTCACAACCGTAGAGAAGGACAGACCGGACAGATGCACGGTACACGCGAATCTTATTGGCGACGGAGAGGTCACGTCGGATCCATAGGCGTTTCCGAAGGCTTGGAGACATGTAGCGGGCAGCATCAATTCGGGAGACCATGTTGTCCTTACTCTGTCCATTAGGCAGCAGCCTCCCCCCGAGGTATTTAAGAATGTCTACTTCATCAAGTTGACAACCATCAATCCCGATGGGAGCCTTCTCCTGGTCAGGATGCAGTTTGAAAGCACTTTGGTCTTCCCAACGTTTATGGATAAACCGACCGCTTTAGCGACCTCATTCACCCATGACACCACAGACAGCAGATCACCAAAACCTGAAGCAAGTAAGGCTATATCCTCGGCATATTCAAAATCCGTCAGTCGGTGTCCGGGTGCAAACTCAACACCGTCACCTTCGTGTAGGGCCCTCCCGAGGATCCAGTCAATAGCATAGTTAGACAGAATGGGTAACAGGATACAACCCTGTCGAACGCCAGACCGAATACCGAACAGTTGGGAAAGATTGTTGCGGACCAGAACTCTCGCAGTAGTGGAGCGATAATAGGACTTGATCATGGCGATTATTTTTGCCGGTACACCATCTAGCGCCATTATCCGCCACAGGGACTCACGATGAACGGAATCGAACGCGGCGTCAAATTCAATGAAGCCAACGGCCGTCGGTTGTTGGTAGCTATGGCGAAATTAGAAAATGCGCCTCAGGGTGAATATCTGGTCTGCACATCCACGTCCAGCAGGAAATCCGGCTTGGTTGGTCCTCTTCCTTCATTCCCGCACAGCCTGGAATCGCCTGAGTAGGACAATAGCGAAGATCTTAGCAACGTCGATTAGGCTTATGCCGCGGTAGTTCACGCGTCTTGTCTTATCTCCCTTCTTTAGCATAGGTACAAGGATACCTAAACCCCAGTCATCAGGCGCAACCTCGTCTCTCCACGTTCGTTCAATCACCTCATGGAGCCAGGGCTTTGGAGTGTCGACAGAAGACTTGAAAATTTCAGCGGATATACCGTCCTCCCTGGGTGCCTTATTCTTGCGTAACTTTCGTATGGCATCGGCGACTGCATAGGTGGGGGAGGGTCGCATGGCACTGCATAGGTGGGAAAGGGAAGAAACTCCGCTGAAGAGGAGAGCAAGGACGAGGTAGGTTGGGTATCGAAGTTGTTCAAAGTGCGCACGCCAGCGCTCGATTTTGGCTGACTTGTCAGGAATAAAGCCGCCGTTCACATCGCGAACAGAGTCACTCACTGTAGAGGGCTTACCGCTAACTTGGCGGATCAGACGGTAGAGCTTTCGAGTGTCACCAACGTTCGAGGCCTGTTCCATGGAGGATCGCTATTTCAGCTCGATATTGCTTCCGGTCATCCCTGGCCGATTTTTCCGTCATCTTCCGAAGTTGGCCGAAGCAGCCATCGTTACGGGACCTGGCTCGAGTCTTCTGAGCAGACAACTGCAGGGTTCTTCCGCTGATCCAGTCACTGCGGCGTCGCTGGGTGTATCCAAAGATTTTCTCAGCTGCCCCATAGACTGATGTCTTCAGTGACGACCACTGGTTACTGCCTTCTCCGTCGGCTCAGGTCGTAAAACAGGTGCGGATTTCTCTGCTCAGGGCCTCGGCAATGCTGGTTTGCCGGATTTTTGCGA